ATGGCTGGAGAGCGTTATCTACTCATTCAGTAAATTCCTGCCTTTTTGAGGGTTTGCTCTTTTTGATGAACACGCACTGCTCCAATATTCGTCCTGCTGGGCTCGTTCATCGATTTTCCATTCATTTGATGTTGTTCACTTCCGCTGTGAAACTATACACCTCAAGAAGTATACTTTAACCAGAACATAGACATTCATTGCAGTCAAGCCACACCGGCCCAAGGGCTTTTCATCTGAAGCGTCTCGTCATCGGGAAAAATGTCCAGAACGAAGAGGCACTCACATCTGGGGTGGGCATGTCAGATGAAAAAGTGGTCTTGTCACCTTGCTGATAAGCCGTGATACATATTGTAGACCATAAGCGGCTCAGGCTGTTAAGCTCCACTATGGCAGCAAGCACAGAGACGAGAGACTAAACCCTCTATCCTGTACTGAGTCAGGTGGTGTGCCGGAAACCAATATGAAAAGTGCACTGAAAATGCGCAAGAAATCCATCGACTAACAGGTCCTCAACCATCATCATCGTTGAGGAGTGGCCGCTTGGTTTGGCCAAACACCTATTAAGACTGTCGAAATACTGATAAACATCGGGGCTGTGAGCATATTAAAAGATGACCACGTCCAAACCTCCATAACAACTAAAATAATATTGGGTTAAATTGTCCACACTAACTTGGGTGGAAAAATGAATCACTTTTCGCATTTAAGTTAGCTCTGATTTGAATTGGTAAATCACACCAATGACTGTAGAAATTCTTCCTCCCCTCAACAGGAACGATCCAGTAGAATTTTGCTTTCCGTAGAGTTAACTGCCTGATGTTTTGAGTTTTGATCCCTTTTGAAACTGCTTCTCGAAAAGTAATGGAATAGATATCCGTATAACATATATTGTACGGGTGTACTGGCTCATAATGCAGATGTTCTTTGTTGGGCAGGCTTTTCTACCGCCGTCACACACGTCCTCCTGTGACATACTTGGAAAAATTAGTCTCCAAGATACATGAGCACATTTGGAAGCTCGATTTTCTAGTATTTGATCAAAGGTTATCCATATGGGTTTCAATACTATATCGATGGATACAAGAGTGGTATAGAGAGGTGGGGCGCTCTCGAGAGACCACCCTCGGGAAGCTACCAGTTATCAGCAGCGCCGGCAGCAGCAGCGATTTTGTCTAGTGACACTAACAGTTTTGCGGATGTCTAAATGAATAGTTAAGTCCTCACAAACGAGGCACACCTCGCCGGAGAATCCACATTTTACAGTTATACATATATAGATTGAAGCAGTAAGTCTAACTGGAATGTAGGTCTGATCATGAACAGAATGAAATTACGGTAGAAAGCTCGGACACATTGCTGTTTTATGACATTGTTAGGACATCAGAGAACTAACTGCGACATTTGCCATCCCATTGGAGCGGCTTGTTCAAATAATTCTCAGCTTGAGCACAGAAACAACAAGGCTGGTCCTTAAATTAGTTCATTCCTTGAGGATTTCTTATTGTTATTTTCAAAAATTACATTGTTTGTATTAGAAGGGTGCTGTGAATCTTTATAAAGATACACTTTGAACTGAATTTTAGACCCACCTTTGATATCTTTTTTGTTGTTTGCTGAAAATGCAGAAGAAATTAGCAAATGGCAGTATTTTTAAACAAGTAAATCGCGTAGCCAGGTAGCCTGTACTGTTTTACCATCATATAAGACGTTTTCGGCAGCCTGGTGAGCAATTCGGTACTCACTTTATGTAATTCACTTCTTGCGGACTATGAGGATCTTTGATCTTTGTGTAGACCTAGAACATTGCAAATTTACTCACAAGGTTACTCGGAACTTCCCGACTGACCACGACTGCTTTGAATCTCTCTCTCTCTCTCTCTCTCTCTTTCTTTCTCTCTCCCTCTCTCTCTCTCTCTCTCTGGGGTTCCGAGTTTCCTCCAACCTTATGTTCTGTTTGAACTCAGATTGCAGGAAGTTGGCGACATGCACTCATTTGCACGCCAGTTTGCTTTTCACGAGAGACCCAACTGAATATCTCGATTAAGATGTTCTTCTTCAACTGATGGCGACGTAATGCACTACCCATACGGCAGCTAAAGCAGGATATCTGTTGTCTTGCGCGGTGGCCAAGCTATGGGTTACGCCTGCGCTGAGCTGGCCAGACTACGCGATAGGGAGAAGACAGAGAACTGGGGACACGGCTGTATTGCCAGGACAAAACATACAGAATGACTGCGTAAATATATAGGATGACTAATTGGCCAAATATGGTCGTTCACTTGTTCGTTCCGTACAGCCAATGGTGGTGTTCCGGTCGTGAACAGTCTCAGGCCCACAACGCTGGTCGTGTGTTGCTAAGCCATGTTAGGTGGGTGCCGCCAACTCACCTACTTTCCGGACGCGTCGTACCGATGGTGACCTTAGGGATGTGTTACTCTCTCCACATGTACTTTTTCTTCTGTCGGGGCGCGCCCTGACAATATCATAAACGAGAGATCCAACAGGGTCTTTCGTGAGAACCGAATAGGGACACAAATGGGCACATTTCGCTGTTTCATCCTTGTTGCAATTCATCAGTAGTGCTTCTCTCCTGGGTCAATAATGTGCTTCTAAAACTACGTTCTTCGTGTTACTAGTCGAGCACTATGCCATGTTGTTCATAAATGAATGTCATCTCCCAGGTATGTTTTCAGTGTGTGTTTACCCATACCCAGAAATTGGGACGAAACTTTGGTCTACCCGCCGAGCTAAACCGGATCTGTGTAGGTGACTCACCAGTCCTCATAACATATCATATTTCAGATCACACATGATTAATACGGACACTACCTCTGTATACGGGGGTTCAGATATCCCAGTCGGTCCTTTATAATCAAATTCTGAACGAAATGCGAAAGTGTACTTTGGTGGAAATTGCCTAAAATATCACTTTCCAAAATCGTCAACCAGCGTTTCCTATCTGCAAACATCTTACCACAAATCACCACTCAATCATACTAACGAAGTTGTCCACATTGGGCAATTTTTGCCCATTAGTTCTTTCATTCCCTGAAGTTTATGATCAGGGTTCACTCGACGGACCACACACTGCTGATGAATTCCAGTGTTCATGAAACAGCTGCAAAGTGCTTCTTGACATTTCCACTTGAATGGCTCCTTTTACGAAGTGGAATTATCTTTAAGCTTGTCCGATCTCTTCATGGGTACTAGGTATAACATTTTCTAAACACAAAACGCACCAAGATTTCTACAGTTTTGTAGACTCACCAACTGCTTTGAGACATTGTGGACTGGTGATTGTTTTGTTTGATCACTAACACTTCTTCCGATCCCACACTTCTTCTGTGCGGAAGAATGTCTCACCCTAACGTGTGGATCTTTAAAGTCAAACTCACAAGCTGAGGTGAGTACTATTTAGCCCATAAATTACATACATGTAGAGGTAATTCGGTGATAAGTAACTGAAATTGTGGTAAATGATGACCGGTTGACTGCTTTGATGCCTAGGTAGAGCACTCCGGATTAATTATTTTAGCTAATCACGCGAATTTGTGTGCAACGCGTCGATTGATTCAATCAAGGGCATCCAAATTTTCATCGCCCACGGTAAATGCAACAGCACAAGCCACTTGTTTAGTATATCATGGAAACGGTGTCTACAGACTTCCCAAGCGGCATCTTCTCGACCTGTGTAACATTACTTATAATTTGTGGATACTCAGGAGTGGTTTTGAAATTTCAATTACAGTTTCTCAAATGAACCAATCTTGTAATACAGAAATACAAGGAAGAGCTGCTTTATCCCTAGTTAGAGATAACAGAAAGAAAATTACTATACCCATCAGCGTAGAGTCACTGGCGCACAAAGCAATACTCAGTACTTTTCAATTGATTAATAACCACCAAATCGGTTCAGGTATCGATATTTTCCTTGCTTGTTTGTTAAACAGAGCACTGTACGCTACAAAGTCAGGAAGTACTATATGGATCGTTTACCTTACCAGCAATCATCAGTAGTGCCCATCTGATGGAACTCCTGTTTGGAATTTCGAAGTTGCAACACCTTGGTTAGTGTTGTGAGCATGGGCGGCTGATCAGCAGTATGAGTAGATCGTACTCAGACAGAATAAAGCGCCGCTCATCCTTCAGTCACGGAATCCACATAATATGGTCTGGCTGGCTCCACAAGTAGCGACTTCTTCGAAAAGACTTTTACACATCTTGTGGAATTATTTCTCTCAGGTACTTAACTTGTTAAGTATTCGTTCAGTATTGATCGCACTAGTGTTGACGTTCGGACATAGTGTGTGCTGGTATGGCTTCGTCCATAAAAAGTTGAGATAGGTAATGATGTAACCTGATGCCATCTTTAATAGCTGGTGTAATCTGAAGCATGGTGATCCACATCGCATCTGTATGGCCATCTCACCTATCCGTAAGCACTTACTGGGGCTATTTTACGTTGAAATAATATAACAATAGTGTTTCACTATTATTGGGGCTTTTCGGTATTGTGCACGTACTGGAATGTCTGACATTAGGATTTGTCTGTTGTCAGTGCATAGTGAGAGAGCCAAATACGGGTTGAGCTGATCCGAATATGATGCCGTGTGCAAGCCATGCAATCCAGAAGACTTGAAGGGTTTTGTCGGTAGTTTGATGACAATCAAACAACTAATACATGTACCCATTCTTGTACCATCGCGTTTTGGCCGACTGATGGCTTAGGACAAGCCTGTGCTGTTTCGTTCACCAATCTTATTCTCCCGGGCTTGCAGCAGCGCCGTATACATGTCATCGGTCGTGTATGGTCTCACACAGATGAAATTCCCGTTGCCCGGAGGGGCCACTTAGTAAACGGGTTGACGTACCACCTTACAACAAACACGGCTTTTTGTTTTGACCATGAAGTGAAGCATGGTGTTGAATTAATTGTTTTTTTATATCTTAAGCAGTGTGACTACTTTCTTGCATGGCACAAAACAAACGAATGACTTACCAATGAATTTGAATGAAACTCCATTTAACACTTCAGGAGGCGAGTTCAACTGCTTTAGAGCAAATTCTCTCGTCCCTTTGTCTTCCATATCTGGACAGAGGTGTCTGTAGATTCTGGATGGACTGTAAATTTTTACGGAGGCAGTCGTTTCTCCAACACGTCCGGAACAGATTATTTTTTTCACACAGAAATTCGACCATATTAACCATAGTTTACCGAGCACCTGATAAAAGAACATCAAGTATAAGTGCAAGGCCTTTATTCATTGCACTGATATACAAAACGAGCCTGGTGTTATTCCCTTACATAGTTTTCCCTTTTTTTTTGCAAAATCTGATTGTCTGAACGAATGATGTATTTCATAATGTTTCACTTTGTAACTAGCCTTCTGTTGTACCACCAAACATTTTAGTTCAAGTAAAATGGAAGAGTAGACCCTTTCCAATTTGATTTGAGATTGGCTGAGTTTGGACTAATATCCGCACATCATTCTGTGATGCCGCTCGTACGCGTGGACAAGGTAAATTTGGATTCTCGAACGAACAACGTGTATCAGTACGCGAGCACAGTATTCGCTCGATAATGCAGCTGTGTATACATTTGATCAAGTTCAGCGGTGTGTTAAGTGCTGATCTAATAGAAAAAAAACAGGGTTTCAGATTAACCATATACACAAACATTCTACCGGGTCGAAAAACACCTTGCAAAAAGATCCTCCACTCACCCAATCACACAATCTGTCTGTTGGCCTATTGTACAGCGGGATATCGTTTTCGTCAGAAACTTCTCTCCATTGAACGGTGGGTCCCGTGGCTCGCAGTTCCGTTTCTAAAGGCAAGCGAGTATGTATTTCTTATTACTAATAATGTTTGCAATTTTGTTTAAGAAAACTCCGGTTTGGTTAACAAGATGTTATCTACAGCAGACGCTTAACAAAAACTCAAAGCCTTCTTCCCAACATATAATGATGTCGAGTTTGTCAGTACCAGCTACTTCTCAGGAGCCAACATCTATCAACCTTGTCACACGAAAGAAATGACAAGATAGAAGGTAACCGTGAAAAGTACAGCTGTTGATTAGTCCTTCAATACTAACTGACGCTGACACTCAGCTGGTAGTCGGGTAATTTGTTATCAGGTCTTTTGATTCAGACGTGCTTGAACTATGAATAAAACTGTAGCTGTTTAGAAAACGTGCAGTGATATACTCCAAACGAGCGGTT